GTTTTGGGCAGGGGTCCTGCACCTTTACCTCTATCTGCAAACAGATAACTGAAAAGAACAACTATTCTGTATGGAATACAGGTAAAAAATCAGCACGCATGCTTTCGTAGTCATATAGCAGCACCAAATTTCTTTTTGAAAAAGGGATGTTCAGCTGTTTAACTGACTTGGTGATTCTAACATTAAATGTGTCACCAGCAACAATGAGCCTGTGGTTCCAGGTCACACACGGGTTGAACAAGCCTATCTGTGTGTCCAAGAATTCACTGTCACCCAATATTTTCTCAGAAAAAAACTGTTGTAAATAAACCAATCCGGATTTAACTCCTAGGTGCTACATGTTACATGTGAAAAGGGAGGTATTTTGAGGTATTCTCCTTAACCTTTGACCTAGCTAATCCAGGCAGTACTCCTTGGTGACCGATTAAAGTTGCACGAGTCCAGTTTCCTTTTTGAAAATGTAACATATCATTTTCAAATTAATGTTCATTGTAAATGAAATGAATAAACACCAGGGGGATTGTGAAAGTAAGACACAAAATTCCAAATTTTTGGATGAGAAATCTTATAATAACAAAAGTACACAAAGAAAGTGTTAGATTTTTTTGTGAAAAATAAAAATATCAAATTTCATGGTTTGACCCCGGAGTTGAAGCTGTGTTAAGGCCACTTTCGTACATGCCAGTGGGGCACATGCATGACTTTTCACTACCGGTGCTCTATTTGAACAACGAGCGCACTTGTTGCCAAATGCAGTGATCTGATTGGTCAGATCAGTTTATTCGCAGGTGAAAAATAATGGAAAAAGAATGCCGTCAATTTGTTTTGTGAAATGACTTGGCCAGTGTGAACTGTTTCATTTAGAATGGGTGTGTCCATTGTTGCTTAGGTTGTCACAAATGGAACAGTAATTTCCAAATTGAACGTCATGTTGTATCAAACAGAATATGAAACTATCAACTGAGACTGCACACTCATTAAGAAAGTGTTTGCTGAGGTCATAAATCAAGTTAGAAGTCGGGTCATTTTCCCGTCAGACATTTTTAGCAACCTGAAAAGTCGCCCACCTTTGACCAGTGGTAGGAACAAGGGCACGCTAGCTTCATTTTTCAGACCCAGAGACTGCATCTACATTTTATATACATTCTGTGCCTATTTGGGACAAAATGGTCCCATTAAAATGATGTTATTAATTAATTTATGTGTCTACACATGGATTGTTTTAATATTTTTTTATGCCTTATGCATGCTAGTAAATTGTCGGATCTCTGCTGACCTCCTCCACACAAATAACCACTAAATAACCTGCTTTAAAGGCCTTTTTCACAAACTGCATTGTGACATTTTACATACAGGTTTCTGTAATTGTAGGAACTCCAATTTCAACTTCATGGAGCTCTGTTGTTTTTTGCCCCCCCCTCCCATTTTTCTCCTCTTCTCTGTACCATGGATGGGGACGGTAGTTATCAGGCCCAGCCAGCACAGCCCTGCCCTTCTACCTGACCACTGCCAGCAGGGAGCGGCTGCTCTTGCCTGAATATCTCCAACCACAACAGCAACAAGAGAATGAGGAAATCAGGCTAGAGTAATCTATGCAGACCCAGAGCACGCTGGCCAGCGTGTGAACTAGTGGCATGTGTGTGTTTTTGTGCATATGCACGCGCACGTTCAGGAGCCCGCCATTTCTGCAACATCCTGCTATAAATCTATTGTGACACTCAAACCGAATTTATGAGCCAATCTGCTTGCGACAGACATGTTTGATTTGAAAAGGGAAAGGAGGATGGAATAAAAAAAAACAACACTAGCAGTGTAAGTAAACTTCTGCTTTGACTTTTAGAGCTAAATACCTTATAAAAATGTAACAGTGTGACTCAGTGGCAGGTGAAAATCTTAAAAGTGCAGTTATAATTCTAAAATATGACTTTATAATTACCCAATAAAAACAGATCATGGAAAAAGGGTATAGCTAGAGGTTGCTTTACTTGACCTAAACAGAACCAGGCAGAAACAAGAGCAACATTATGACAGCAGCTTTTGCCCCTGTGACCCACATAAACAGCCAATAAGAGCCTCTTTGAGCTTAAATGAATGTAGGTGCACATGCAATGATTTACAAGCCACTTTTGCATTTTTTACAATTGAAGCTCCTCTTCTGTTTTACATGATTTAAACTACATAAAACTCTGTTTGATCTGTGTGAGGGGACAGCAACCCTGACGTGAACTGAAATGAACTTGGAAAAAAATAAAATAAATAATTATTCACTATCAACAAAAGCGCACTACAGTCCATTATTTTGATGACTTACCACAACCTCTTCTGATAGACAGTGCTGTTCTGATAACAGTCACAAGTGGACACTCAGTTTTCCATTTATTGAAATAAGCAGACGCACGAAAAAGCCTGGTTTGTTTGTCTTATTAGTTTAGTCAGTGAGGTCTGTTGAATGGTGAAGCGGGGACTGCAAAAGAGTAAAGATACGTTGTGTCTTGCATCTCTCATCCCAGTATATATTGGGGGGGGGGGGGGGGGTATTATCAGTAAACCACTACCATTCAGTATACACACAAGCAGCTGCCTTCTCACTCAGTGGAAGCAGGTGTCTGTGAATCCTGTGGGGTTTGGGGTTTGGGCTTTTTTTCTGGCAGGGGGGTCTAGTAGAAGATGGTGAAATTCCCAGGGTGAAAGTCTGCTTCGTGCTATAGCCTCTTTCCACAAGACACCCCCACCCACCCACCCACACACACACACACACACACACATAAAACCACACACTCTACATTTGCTGACAGGGATTGTCAAACCCGTCGTTCAAATTCAAGCAGCCCTCATCAGGCCTTTGCTGTCATTTCTGGGGTTTTTTCAACCATTGTTGTTACAATAGCTAAAAACCACAACATTGTGAACATGTGGATGGACTAAGCATGCTTACACCCACAAAGAAACTATTTCTGTTTGCCCCGGTCTTAAATATCACAGTTCCTGTTAGATATGTCCGTCTTGATGACTGCCATTTCTGTTTATGAATCCCTCTGAGACTACCACTTAAGAGATGGGAATCTATATTTAAGGGCAGTGTGGTGGATCAGGGTGAGGTTGGGAGGGGGGTGCAGGTGGCTGAAGGTGTTGTGGGGGATGTGAGAACGTGTGGATGGGGAGGGGGTGTAAATATAGCTCCTGGTCTGAGTCTGGGCCCCTTAGCTTGCTAAGGCCTCACAGGAAAGAAAGTCTCCTCAAGAGACTGAATGTGGAGCTCATACTTACGAGCGTTTTTTGGCGAGCAGCGACGAGTAATATAACAATTTTCACATTGCCCACAGTCATGTTAGTGCATATTTCTGTGTTTAAAGGAGTTGATAGTATGTTTATGCAAAGCAAAAAAAAGAAAAAAGTGAAAGCAGTCCAGGACAAAATGTTTCTTTGTATTTCTGGGACATGCACCTGAGTGGTCCCTGCTTATCCATGGAAAAAGAGGGAACGGTTGGAAACATTTGCTTATTTTCTTTGCTTGCTGATAAACTCTATACTCACTTGGTGAGCGGCAGATGGGAGAAGGTTTTATGATATGATATGGTCCACACAATTTTATGACAACAAACCTTTGTATCAGTTTATGTGTGCGCAAAAGCGAGGGCTATTTGAATACTATAATCCGTAGAGGAATTTGAATACCAGAGATAGATTACACTTTGGAGAGGGTAAATAGTTCATTCAGTTTAAAAGGCAATAATTACTCTACATAATGGTGGGGCTATTTGGAGTGCTATTTACACTGAGAACGTAGGCTTCTTGGGCTGAACTTCGCACTTTACAGCTTAAATATATGAAAATGTTATTTCCATATATTTTTGTCCACGAGTAGCTGCGTTTGAACTGCTATCAACTTTCGTACGCTGAACGTCAGAGATTAAACACTGAACACAAGGTTGTTATAAAAACAGCACACTTTATTGAGTAGGCAGTCAAAAGTAGAAGTATAAAAACTTGGCATGTATAAATGCTTTTACAAAAAGTGTGCTAAGTGTTTGACACGAGTTACTGCAGTTTCGTTAAAGGACACAAAATGCTTGTTGAGTGTACTTTTACAACAGTGTAAATCCACCAGAAGAAATGTTTATTTCTTTCTCTTTTTTAAAAAAAATGGGATTTTGGCTGTAGCATTAATATCAGTGTTTGCTACTCTCACAGTTTTAAGGAGAACATAAAATTCAAGTGCAGCTTGGTCTTACTCTTACTGGGTGAAGCTCAGGTTTCAAATATAAATGCATTTCGGATTTTCAAATGTATAAATAAATTCTCTCTCTTTCTGTAGATATATATATATATGTATCTAAATTCTAAGAATTGCTTGTTCATTGAATGTTTTCCCGGTTGGGGGGGATACTGTGAAGGCCAGAAATAAATCAAAAAAACTTGAAATGAAAACTCAATTCCTATGAAATAAAGGCGCCGATGTGTTTGTCAGGTAATACTAAAAAGGCTGGCCCCTTTCTGTTGTATAAAAAAAGTATAAAAATTGTAGTTGCATAGTGGTGCGAGAACAGACCGAGCAGTCCTTGTTCAGCAGTGGAGTGTTTACATGAGGTGGCAAAGACCAAACACTTGAAATTCTCAGTAGACCCATTAAAAACCCCTTAATAATTAAAAAAAAAGGACAAAAAAAGGTTAAAAACAAAAACAAAAAACAAAAAACAAAAAAAACAAAAATAAAAACAGAGGTCAGTTAGAAAATAATCATTATGACTTTGGATGTACGATAATGCTAAAAGGGCTTAAATACTCTGAAATACAACACTGCTCCATTGGCCAATTGTAAAACAACAGCAACAAAGTCATAATGTAAAAAAAAAATCAATAAATTAATGAGCTTGTTCTTTATATTACTATCAACATGTGTAATTAATAATACAGCCCAAGGCATACATGGTCACCATTTCCCCGTTTGTAATACAATAAAACCAAAGAAAATTTTAAAAATTTAAAAACTTTAAAAAAGTCACCCCCCCTCCCCCCTTAAAAAAAGTCTTTGGTTGGTACAAATCCAACAAATGTAAGTGTGAAAAAATCAGTGGCATATAGCCTCTCCCAATGACTGTACCACCGCAAATATGTATCCGCCCGTCTGTTCCACAAGTGTAGGTGAAAGCGAAAATTCTTTGAGTTTTGAACCCAGTGATGCCGTAAACGCCTGTGTTCCAGAAGTAAACAAGTAAACATCTGCTTGATCCATCCATTGCTCCAACCATTTTCTACTGCTTCAGCTGGGGGGGCTAAACACCTTAGCCTGATTGAGCTAAGGGCTTTTTTTCTCTTTCTTTTTTTAAACTCCAGTGCAGGAAAAGTTGATGTGTTTGGATCAGCATTTATCTCAGTCTATATCATCAGTGTCCTTGAAGGGAAAGCACTCAAGAACTTGTGTTCCGAGGCCAGTATGTGCTCCTCTGTTTTCCCGGAGGCCAACAGATCCCAGGAACCCAGCTGTTGCTGCTGTAAGAAAAAAAAGAAGATGATGAGTTTTTATGTTAACATGCAAAGCTATTTTATAAATTTATGATTTAATTACACACACACCTGTAGTGGGTTATTCAGGCTTCTGTGAGGGAGCTGGTAGATTTTGTGTCCGTCTTCGTTCAAGAGTGAGCTTGTAAGTAGGTCCTGAAAGAAAAATGCAACAACACTTGTTAACAACACAATAATTACAGTACAATGACTGAAAAGGATCTTAGGGTTGATCCTGTGCGTACTCATTGATGGACTCTCATAAACAAAACAAAAACACATAAGGAGGTCTGACTTAAGGTCAAACGTCAACTTACCGATACTTCCTGAGCTGGGCGACTGGGGGAGAAGAGCTGCCTGTTAAGTTCTTGCCCTGCCCACTGCATGCAGTGGCCCCTCTTGCATGGGAGCTCGACCTAGGACCCCCGGAAAAAAACACAACACGGTCATTTAAAACCCCACATTTTCCTCTTTTTGTAACCAAGTCACACAAGCTCGCTTGCAAAAATTAACCTCAAGCTATTCTTTAAGCTGACGTCAAACGTGTTGCAAAATGTAACTAAAAAACAAAAACACAACACGTTTGTCACCGCAACATGCAAATGGTTGAGTTTGATATTTCACCCCTGTCCGCTATTTTCTTAAGATACAAAATAACACTTCTTATGTCAGTCTCACATCATATGCGCATGCTTTTTTTTTGCATATCTGTACATGCATATGTAGGGTGGAAAGTACCTCTTGCTTTATCTTCTTAAATGGAGGATGCTTAATGGCATCTTCCACTGGCTCCTGCTTGATGGACCCAACCATCTGCTGCCCCAAAGTGGTGTTCTGGAAACAACACAAACCTCCGAGTGAGTCCCGAGGACAATGCAGTGTGCAAAGCAGCAGTTTGCATGTCAAATTAAGCACCGAGGGATATATACACACATTAAAGTCTCTCACCATTAGTTTAACGGGGCCATATTTGATCTCCTGATGGGTCGAGGCTGATCTCAAAGGCGTGGGTGTACGTGGGGTTGACTCCAGAATTGACTCACACATATTGGGCGTCATGAGCCTGAGGAGAGAGGAAAGAAAAAGCGCAAAAAAACAGCTGTTAAAAAAGGCTCATATAACAATAACAGGTTTGCATAATAAAAGTGATGAGAACAAAAGCTTCTTACAATTCATTATCATTTAGGAGGCTTGCAGGCACAGGCGAGTTAAAGGGTAGATTGTCTGAGTGTTCTGGGCTCACTGGCTGGTTGAGGAACTGTGAAATAAAAAGGAAGAAAACATTAAATTAAAGACCCCTGACAAGGCTTTGACAACCAGGCAGCTCGTGTAGCACGCTAAGCTAAGCTAAACAATGGGACAAACACTAGTTTTGTGTGGTGACTGTGTAAGCACGGGTCATGTGACCTGTGAGGGTGAACAGAGTAGATTTGTGACTTCACATGGGTTGGCATTCGACATGAAACCAGTCAATGATTCTTTAGCAGTTGTTGAGCACCGATTGGGCAAGACCCTGTCTGCTTTAAGAGTGCTACTTTCCAAGAACCCACTGCTAACAGGCTCTGGGAAAAGGGTGGGAAATTCTGTGTCAAGGCCCGCTATTATATCTGTGTTTCTAATTTATAGGGCATCTTCTTCAGCTGGTTCCAGTTGATCACGACAGACAAAAATAAAAACATAATATAGCACGACACAGTGTAAGGAAGATACTTACTGAGTCAATCATGGATTCCATTATCCCTGGCATTGGATTTGAGAATGCAGGACTGTTGTGGGGACTGTTGTTGTTGCTGTTGTTGCCGTTAATGCCTTCGACGGGTGTTGTGGGGGCGCTGTCCTCAGCTGAGCTGCTCTGGTCAAGAGACAGTTCCTGGCTGGCTGCCTGGTGATGAGGTAAAGGCAGAGCAGCACCTTCTGAGCTGTTGGACATGGAGCTCTGGTTGGTCCAGTTTTGATAGAACGAACAAATCTGGAGAGAGGAAAAAAATGTTACAGACTGGAAAAGAATAATCACCTGAAAACACAAAAGCACAGAGGAGCGAGTGCAAAGGAAGCACAGATATAAGAAGCGCAGGGAACGCTCAGCCGTGATCAAATGAGAAGGGGAACTTTAATGTAAAGGCCGACAGAAGAAGTGTTGAGTAGAGAATTGCACAAGGGGTCATGCAAACCCAAAAGAAATGGTGATAAGATCCTATTGCATCACTTTTTGCAGAAACAGACCACCCAGATGTTTCCTCCTCCTCATGCACACACAAAAAACACAAGTCCAACCACTGTCCTTAAAGCCAGGGTCAAAAAACCCAAAAAACCCATAAATTGTGCTGTCACATGTTTCACCCTCCTGAATCCAGACACAGATCCAAGTGTGACTCACCGGTAGTGACGGCTGGCCCCTCAGTTCATTTTCTGTTGACATGAGCAGCATTTCGATCTCTTTCACCCTCTTCTCCTTCTCAGGGTCCTCCTCGTTATAGTGTCTCTGAAAGAGCAGAAGAAATGCGTGAGCACCAATTCAATCCAAACAACTCATCTACCCCATCTTTCGATCGCCGCTCAGGTTTGCGATTCTTACCTGGACTTGGGGAATGTTGAGTATGTTCATATTGAATGAGAGGGTGGAGTGCACCTGTTACAGAGAAAGAAGCAGACGTTAATAAATGCAAGATCTTGCGGGCGGAGATCTGCCTAAATTCTGGTTTAAAGCCCACTTACTCTACGTGCGTCAGACAGGTAGGTGGCGTAGCTGAGCGGCAAATTGGAAGTCAGCTGCGTGTGACCGGGCTGTTGGGGAAAGCACATGATCTGATTGTTGGTCTTCACGTAAGTGCGGCTGGCGGGGAGCGAGGGGCTGCTGTTCTTGGCTGTGTTCTGAAGGTAGCCCTCCTGTTCCACCTTTCTCCTCATGGTGGAGTTCCAGTGGTTCTTTATAGCGTTGTCGGTCCTGCGGGTCATAAGGGACATGTGTTAACTTAAAGGGGATGTGACATCCTCTAGCTGCACACAGCAGCTTTATCAATGCAGGCGCACGCACACGCTGAGGGAGATAGGAAAAGTCTCAGTCACACACATACACGCATATTTAAAAATGTGCGCAATTGATAAGGTTATCAGTGCAAAGCAATTACAATAACCACATATTTATCTGTGTTTTCTCTTCTGTCATTCTACACCTTCCCCCCACGTCCTAACTTAGCCTTTTAACCTTTCTTTCCCAGCTTGCGTTCTATGTCCACAACTCCATTTTCTCTCATGCTCACTTTTATTGGCATGCCCTCCCCTCCATTTCAGCCTCTTAACCGCAACATTGCGCAGCTAACCAACAAGGTTTCAGTGATTCATCTAGCTTCTCCTTTTCTGCCTCTTCTTCCCTCTCTCCACCTCACCTGCCAGGGAGCAGCTTAGCGATTTCTGCCCAGCGATTGCCCAGCTTCTCATGCGCCTGGTAGATTATTCTGTCTTCCTCCTCCGTCCAGGAAGTCTTCTTAACCTCTGGGTTCAGGTGGTTGTGCCAGCGCTCGCGGCACTGCTTGCCAATTCGCCCCTTCAGGTGCTTGGCGATCACTGACCAGCGTTTGGCGCCGTATTTCTGGACCAGCTCGATCACCTGGGGATTTTTAGGGTTGTGAGGGGTGAGAGAAAGAGGAAAGGCAAGAGAGGAGGAGGAGGAGGGAGAGTGTTGAAAAGGAAGAAGTGAATGGTAGTAGAGGAGCATGGGGAAAGAGGAAGGAAGGAGTAATAACAGGGAGGGGAGGGAGAAGTAGAGTGGTACAGAGATATGAAAACAGGAGAGAGAGAAGAAATAAAAAAAATGATTATCCATAAAAATCTCAGAAGTTTTACTAAATGCACTGCTTTTCCTTCCTCCTTCTCTCTCTTTCTTGATCTTTCGCTAGTGTAGCTGATTGAGAACACCTGCTGGTGAGCAGTGAGGGAGTTTCCATTGGAACATTAGCCACTCTGCTAATCATTACAGTGGCATCTGGGTGGAAATATAACTCCTAAACGTGTTATATGTTGTGTAAGGGTGAGTAAAAGTGTGCAACCACAGTTCAGGAGTTGCTACAGAGAAGTTGCTTTAAACACAGGAACACAAAGTAATTGTTGATCTCAGTGGTATCCAGTTAGTATAAAGCCCACTCTAACAATTACACTGTAAGGTCACCACTAATGGCTGTTATAACATAACACACGGCTAAAGCACACTACAAACTCTACATGCAAGTTAATCTTGCATTTATATTTACAGTTTTCCATGCCACCCTCCCCCCCAAAACCCCACAAAAATACAGTGTGCTCTTACCCTCTGGTCCTCCTCTTTGGTCCACGGTCCTTTAATGAGTTCTGGGTTGAGAACCTTCTGCCACCTGTGTTGGCACTGCACATCTGTACGGTTCTGTGTAGAGAGAGAAAAACAAAATACAGTTTGTTATCATCTCCACACAATGGGAAGTTGCACGCAGACAAATCAGGGCCTCATGCCTGCTACTTACAGTTAATAGGCTTGCAATTACTTTCCAGTCTTCTGCTCCATGATGTTCAACAAGTTTTTTCAACTTCTCATCCTGAAAAAAGAGAGTACATTTTTTTAAAATATGTCACTAATATTTAGTATTGAACAGCAGAATTTGAACTGTATTGACGTATGTGTGTGTGTGTGTGTGTGTGTTTGTATACCTCTTCTCGTGTCCAGCGTGTCTTGCCGAGCTGGCGTTTCCCAGGCTTGGGCAATGATCCATCATAATCATGTTCATACATCTCAGTCTCCTCCTCGTCATCCTCACTGCTGTACAGACTGCAGACACACACACACACACACACACAGAGGGCAACATTTTAAAAAGAGGTGGAGTCTGCGTGGAAAAAGAAGAGTGTAGGATAATAGACAGAAGAATAATAGGACAATAAGTACTTTACTTGTTCTAAACTACTCCCTATTAATCTCTTTATGAGGTGCATTAAAAAAAACTCAGCCCTCTCTTTTAGTCACTCGCTTAACTCCAACACAGAGAGAAAACCAGTCATTCTTGAAGGTTTGGCTGCAGGCTTTTAGCCAAGACACCCACAGGGGGTGTGCATGTGTGTGTGTGTGTGTGTGTGTGTGTGTGTGTGTGTGTGAGAGAGAGGGGGGGGGTGGGGGGGGGGGGGGAGGACGAACAGGTTCCAGTGTTTTTAGTTTCCACAGATACCTGGATTGGCACATGCGATCATAATTTTGTGACCCTGGCGTGTTCAAACTTGCACAGGGCATTGTACAGCACAGCCATGCACACACGGAAACACACGCACACGTGCACACAGAGTTCACGTTCGCGCGCGCGCGCGCGCACACACACACACACACCATGTGGTCAACTAATCAGAATGCGGGACAGGTAGATAGTTGTGCTGTCATACAGTACAACAGGTGAAGAGGAACCCCACTATGTGTGTGCGTGCGTGTGTGTGCATGCGTACAGAAGGATATTTACACGCCATAATCTTCCTTATTTTCCTTTTGCCCAAATGCGTGACTACTACTCGCAGAGGCGAGCAAATAAACAACTTCTCTCAAATTTATCCAACAGCCTCTGCGTTTCAGCGCAAATGAGATAATTAGCGTGAAACAAACAAAAAAGCAAGCAAACAATAGAAGATGATTACAGCGCTCTCAAGAAGAACGATTAATCAGCTGGATCGGCTCTTCGTGAAAAGAAGCGATAATTACTTTTAAACCAATCAAATTAACTCCGGGTGCAGTTTCTTCTAATTACGATGAGGACAAAACGAGATAAAAACACGTCTGTAAACGGAGGTAAACGGTGGCTTTTTTGTGTGTATGTGCAAAGAAGATCCTCAAAAAGGATCCCTGACATCTCAAACATGAGATTCGCGCACAAGACCTAATGTGTGTAATTTAAGGGAGAAAAATAGCATTGGGTCTCCGCGGAAGAAGTGCGCGTGGAGTACAATGTTAGAGCGCAGGTTTCCAAAATAATATCCATCGCTCCTCGCGCTCGGTCGGAGATGCTGGAAAGCAGTCGTGTGTGTAGCGTGTGCAAGTTTTCATCGAAAAGAGCCGAAATCGGTGGCAGATGAACTGCTTTGCAACCTGTTTTTACTATCCGCGAGTTAAGACACGCCGAAGCGTGCACGGCACAGCACTGTCAAAGCCGAGCGATGACCAGCCACCTGTCATTGGCGCGAGCGCTCCACAGCTCCAACTGGAGAAAAGTAAAGGGCTCGCGCATAGTACAGGCTGACCACACACATATATATATGTATATGATGTATATATGAAGTAAAACATATATCAACATATCAATATATATATAAATATAAACACACACGCGCGAGCTAGGGCAAGAGGATGCACTCTTCGCACTTACTTCACGCCGTATCCAAGTGAAATAATGCCTCACGAGAAAACTACAATAATAGCTGCGAGTCTTTGAGAGACAGAAATGAAAGCTTTAAAGCTGCCAAAGTCGTTGCTCGTGTTTCTCTTACCTGCTTCTGGACCGCCGAATCATGCTTAAAGTCTGCTGACGGTGTTTGGTGAACGCGGTAAGCACCTAGCCGACAGACAGCACTGACTTGCTCTCGCTCCTCACTTTCAGCTTCACTTTTAAAACGAGACCGCTGCTTCTAGGGACCCGCCCCTTCCCGCCCCTTGTGCTCGCCCTTCACCAATACGCCGCGCCTCCAGTCTGTATTTGGCGCCTCTCGGTCGTGGCCTGAGGCTGTGGACCCCCAGGCGTTTCTTCAAGACAATTTCTCTGTCTACAGTTTTTAGCAAGTCCGAGTTTTAATGGACAAGCAGATGCCGCCTATAAGAAAATGTGATGTTTCTCGTAGATATATCCTGAAAGCATGTTGAGTTTTGCAGTGAGAGACCCCTTACTATCAAAACCACAACTGGCTTTAGTAGACACCATTAAAACATAAAATTAGATAAAATACATGCTAAGCTAACTGGTTACATTCACTCTATTTATTAGGACAAATTAAATACATTGGATTTAGGTCTGACCCTATTAATGGTGTATGTGACAGGTTTCCTTTCCTTTCAGGGGGATATGAAAGTCAGAATAAATTACAATACAGCCACAAGACAACAGCAAAAGATATCAGCTTCCCAGTGGAGAGAGTATAAAGTAAAATAATGAAAATATACAGGATTTGTATGACATATCGTTCTGCCAGAAGATGCTTATTTGAAATGTGCTTCGAATAGGGTTAATAAGTGAATGCGATATGGGATCTACTTTGTATGATAAAAAAGTGATCTCTGACCTTATTTTTGTAAGCCTCTACACATGAAACCTGCCTAATGATGCAATATCTCAGGAGAGGAAGTTTAATAGCTCTTTTATTAATATAATTCTGAACAGGTCAGGGTACAATGCAGCAGCGAAGCCAAAAGAAAAAGTTGTCATGAACCTTAGTAGTTATTGATTTGATCGTTTCTTCTATAGAGATAGATCACACTGGGGAAGCAGCAGGACTCCTTAATAAGTGCCCAATATAGTGTGTGCATGTGAGAGAGTTGGTCCTGTCTTGTAATACAAGTTCCTGGTTGATTTTCTCAAACGTGTCCTTAAGCGCACCAGCCAGGTCACTCAAAAGGAGAAGGAAATGCATCTGTCTGAAGAAAACAATACAAATAGGTTTATGGCATGCAAGGAAAGTGAAGTTACAATGAGACCAGTGGTGATTGCCTACCTGTTTGTAGGGTGCCTCTTGGTGCCACAGATGTTTCTTGGTGATAAAGCATAGAACAGGCCTTGTGTTATTGTTTGCCCATAAAAAGAAAAAAAGTTACAGAACTTGCAATTGCACTAAACTTTTTTTGTGGTACTTTATTTGCACTTATCTCAGAGGATAGGCGCCTTTAAACCACACATGACTGCCTCTTTAGGTTGATTTCTTCTCTTTGAATTTTCTGAAAATAATCAATGTTGAAACTACAGACTGGATGAGTTTGCGCTTATTAATGCACGTGGCTTGTACAATATTGCTTATTTCTTAGTAATACCGCAAAGCTTCGGAATTATTCTTTATTTAACCAACTCATTTGTCACATATTGTGTGTAGTTTGTTTTGGTGAAGCTCTGAATTGCTAGAGCTGTCTCTACTCAACCATTCATTTCATGGGGGGTGGGTGGGTTAATGCTTTATTGGTTTAAATGTGTCTTCTTATTGTTCCTACATACGCAGCCGTATTGTCCTAATCACTTGTGATTACCATCACCCGATACCAATCTATTGTTCCAGAGAAGTAATGACAATAACAGGCTGATGGAGGCTTATGCACAAACACATTACTGTAGACTAAAAACTCGCCACTTAATGCAGCCTCTAAAAGTGCTTACATGGCTCAGTGAAGTGAAGCAAGTACAATTTTTCCAGTTTATAGCTTTGGACATGAGTTAAATGAGGTAGACTACAACTTCAAAGTGTGCCCTACTAGATTGCTTAATCTATTTTTTTCATCTTCATTTTGGTTGTCCTCATACGTCGCAGGCAACTCCTGAGTACACAAGTTACAGTCCTGTCAGTTTTGCCTCAAGTACCTGAACCACCCGCAGTGTTTACACAGCCAGTGATAAAACCTAAAGAATCCTTAAGCTCTCTAATGTCTGGGATTAGTTTGAAGCTGTGTTTGTTTGCATTCAGGCTGAAGAGGAACTGAAGGGTCTCTAATACCAAAAAGGAGTGAGAAACAGACAGCTATGTGTGTTAAAACAACATATATATGAAAATATATGAACAGCACTAGTCTTAGATGTTACATTAGGCTTTATTGTCTCCCTCGGGAGAAACGGATCTTTGACAAATGAGGGAAAAGTAGCATATAAGACAAAACATGTACAATTTCACCTCTTACTATTTAGTAATTTTTAACTGATAATAGCACTAAAGAAAATTTGTGTGTCAGTGAAGAAATGGGGGGGGGGGGGGGTATTCTCGGGTGCTTATAATGCATTTTAAACTGTTTACCTACTAAATGGTAGGACCTATTGTGCTTTGCTGATGGAGAGTCGTTTAATCCCTTTGAGATGTAGATGATGTAGATGCAGCCCCTTTGCTGTTGATCAAAAACTTAAAAGGACCCACTAATGACCCACTAATGACCTACCCCAGTGATATGTGTAGGTGTGCCTTGCAAATGCAGATTATTCAGGCTCATTCTTGCAAATATGGGGTTTTTTCTGAGCATGCATAAGAATGTGTGAGTTTGTGAACCTATGCTTGGTGTGGGTGTGGCCACCATTATTGTCATCTGAAACTGGCTGATTGGTGTATCAGTGCACAAAAAAAGAAAAAATGGTTTGGTTAGTGGCCCAAAGCATGCCACTAACATTGTTTTTCACAAATAAAGCTTTTACTGTAAATCAACTCTTTCCTGTCTTTAACATAATGCTTTACTGTACATTTAATAACAATCCCATCTATTGAGGATTATCTACATATAACCCTTTCTGGACGTAATCTTGCAAAGCTGCTGTGTTTCTTTGGAGAGCAGTTGCTTTCTGCTTTCATGCCTTGCTATACACACCATGCTGCCACAGTGTTTGTGACTCTCCTGATTGTGGGCCTGTGAATTTGAACATCACACTGAAAGTAAAAGGGGCCTCAAGTTGCATGAACACAGCCCTTCTGGTCTTCTCTGATTAACTTCAACCATGAGACAAAAATAAAGGCAGTGTGGATAATTTCAAATGTGTGTACCACAAAATGTGTTATGTATAAAATTCATATATTTGATTCATTGCATTGAAAGTCATGGATATTTAGAGGGACGTAGTCTTCTTAGCATGGGGCTACACATGTTGACTTGACGATCAAAATCTGATAAAGAATAAAATAATCACTTAAAACTATCTTTAAATTGCTCCCCAAACGAATTCTCAAAGGTTTTTTTTTAACTAAAACACTAAAACACATTTTCTAGATCCAACTTTTGTTATTAACAAGCAAGGGCTCCCCATTAATTCCCATTTTTCATAGATCTTTTTGGAAAGGGTAAAATGAGGACTGCTTTAAATCAGCTGATTACATCAAGCTGAGCAGAGCAAAATGGTCATAATTACTGTGTTGTAGTATATTCTTATTCCATTGTATAAAACACATTTTGCTGCTTGTCCTCTACCTGACCTAGCAAGCTCAGTGTCCACTCTGTATTATTTCTTAGCACTGTGTACAGCCATGACTTTTTGATCTATTCAAATTCAACTTTAATTAAATAGCTGTTATCCTGTAAGACTGCAATCCAAGATCCCACCGCAAAAATACAAGTGTAGTTGACTTTTAACTTTTTACATTTAACCATTCTTTGCCGGGAGAAACTAGGTGCAGAGGGCTAATTTTATGCTACATGAGCCAGAATGGTGTCGTTCTAAATTCAGCTTTCCCTGACATTAAAAAAACTCCATGTTTCACAGATGGAAGCAGCAGTGTCCTCTGTGCAAACACAACACTTCTCCGCTTTTTTTTTTTTTTTTAAATAAACATTTTCCAGTGATCCCCTGGCTTGTCTTGCAACCTGCAGAAGCGGTGGCTGTCTCCTTGCTGTCTGTTGTTGTGCAGTGTTCTCCTGACGATCCATTAATAAGGATTAACATTAACTAATGCAAAACAGGTCTTCAGATCTTGTGACACACTTTGCTTGCGATGGGATCTTTTGTTTCTTGATCACTGCTGTTAAGGGTGATAATGGCCTGGCGTTTTTTCTTTTTCTGTCTGTCTGCCTGACTGTGAAGTGAAGAAGTCTAAACTCCAGAGATGGTTGTGTAACCTTCTCTGAGCATCAACAGATCATTTTAAAGCGCAATGATGGTTTGAGGATATTTCTGCAGAAATAACATTCTGTAGGACACAGAAACATTCAAGTGCCACTCTAGGTTAGTAAAACAGGGACATCAGTAAACAAGCAGCCTTCATGTGAGTTTGGGATCACTTGGAAGAAAAGACGGAAATTAAAAGTGTGTGTGTGTTTTCTGCACAGGCCCCAGATGTATCTTTTTCTTTGAGGGTAATATGTAAAACTACCTTGAGTCATCTGAAACCAAACTGAAAGAAAGGAGCAGGGGTATATGAAAATTCCTTTGTAGAAGGCTGAGGAGGAAGCCCAAAGCCCATTGACTCTTTAGCTGGGGAGATTTGCATGGGTGCTATTGGGCAGGTTAAGGAGAGGTATTGTGATAGCTACCCCCTTTGCAAAACAGTGTGTGCACAGGGTGGTTCATTTGAATGATTTTAATGATGGCTCATGGTCTCATCCTACAAGATTCTGTGCACAGTGTCGGGAAGGCGTATGTGCTTGCATCTAAGTGAGCACTGGAAACATCAGAAAGGTTAACGTGATTATGTGTGGGTATGTAGCTACATATTTACTAATTGTTAACTGAGAATAAATGTGTATTTTAAAAAATATATCACATGCCTAAAACCAGTGGGAATTTTTATATTTTTAATCGATTGTTAGATATTTCATATTTTAGCTACTGATACATGTTTAATGAATGTAGCGAGTACATGAAAATTAAACAAAACACATGTTTTTCGGTTGTTTTCTTAAAAAAACAAAAAAACAAAA